ACAAGCAGAATTTATCAAGCCTATGCAGCACCCAGAGTGGCTGGCGAATATAGTCCCTGTGAAGAAGAAAAACAGGTAGATCAGGTGTTGTGTGGATTTTTGTGATCTTAACAAAGCCTGTCCAAAAGATGATTTTCTTCTACCACATATAGACTGCATAGTAAATGCAATGACCGCTCATGAGTGATTATCGTTTATAGATAGGTTCAATGGACATAATCATATACGAATGGCTTCTAAAGACGCTCAGAAGACAACTTTCCGTACCCCTGTTGGTAACTCCTATTATGTAGTGATGCAATTTGGCTTAAAGAACACATATCAATGAGAGATAACAGCTATCTTCCATGACATTATGCACGACATAGTGGAGGATTATGTTGATGATTTAGTGGTGAAATTACAAAAGCGAGAGGAACATTTGGGACACCTAGAGGCAGTATTACAACGATGCAGAGCGTATAGATTGAAAATGAATCCTTTGAAGTGCATGTTCACTGTGGACTCTAGCAATCTCCTTGGTTTCAAGGTACACAAGAAAGGGATATTTGCATCAGATGATAAAATTAAAGCTGTTCAAGAGATGCAGTCGCCTAAAGGAGCAAAAGATGTCCAACGGATGATAGGAAAGTTAGGGTACATACGACGGTTTATACTAGCCGCCTTTGAGTTGTTAGAGCCATTAAGAGAACTGACCAAGGAGAAGAAAAGGTTTGCATGGAAGTGTTGACACCAAGTGACGTTCAAAAAAATTAAGAAAGGGTTGACAACCTTACCTGTAATGTTGTCACCTAAACTCGGTACGTCGCTGCATGTGTATCGCAAATTGTACCCTCAGTGTGTTTGTTGCCTAAGAAGATGAACGCCAAAAGGGACAGAAAAAAGATATTCAATCCAAGAGCAGTGTTGTCTTGCGTTAGTTCATGCATCGTAGAAGTATAGACATTTGAAGGAATCAAGTAACTCCTGCATCGACCTATGATAGTAGGAAGAATGAGCAAATGGGCCTTGTTGCTATCGGAATATGACATTGCTGTTATAAGACCAATTGTGATAAAGAGCCAGGCGTAGGCAGATGTCTTGTCCATATGTGCACCTCAGAAGCATGAGAGTGGGAAGAGACTATGCAGCAAAGGGAAGCCGAGGTCCATGAATGTAAAGAAGTAAGGAGGTGGACGCTGTCATTTCATGGGTCGCCTACACAACCCAATGGAGGAGTGGGTGTGGTGTTAGAGAATGAAAAGGGAGAAACGTTGTGTTACGCGTTCAAATTAAAGTTCTCATGTACGAATAATGAGGCCGAGTACGAAGCTTTAATACTGGGGATGGAGATGGCCAAAGAATTGGGGGTGCAAAGCCTCACGGTGAAAGGCGATTCCAAGCTAATCCTGGAACAGGTAGAAGGAAATTATGGAGTAAAGAAAGTCCCACTGGCATTGTACAGGGAAAGGGCTCAAGCATTAATTAGCCAGTTTATAAACGTCAATGTAGGGCACGTCCCGTGTGCAATGAATAAGCAAGTTGACGCCCTTGTAACTTTAGCTAGCAGGAAAAGACAAACACAAAAGCATGGAGAGCTAGCCAAATATGCATAAAAGAGCGAAGGGTCTGTTTGAGGCAAAACAGAAAAAAGGCTGAGCAAAGAATCAGATTGGAGAACATCCATCAGACAAGCGTTAAATGGGAAAGTCATCGCAAGGAGGCAAGGGACTTCGTATATCTTAAGGGGAGAATATATAAAAAAGATGGAAGCGGTCTATTGATGAAGTGTGTTGCGATAGAGGTGGAGGAATGGAAGGCAAAACAAATGCATGAAACGATCTGTAGGCAAAAAAGGGGAGGCTTGTATAGGAGATTGCAGTGGTATGGCATTTTTGGGCCTAATATGAAAACGTGTTGTGATCGCATACAAGCGTTATGTCCCACTTGCCAAAAACAGAAAAAAGGAACAGGAAATCGTTACGGTTGAAATCAATTAGAGGAGACCCTTAAAGGAATTCATAGAGGAGGGCGTGCTGCCTCTAGAAAAAAGTAAAGCTATAAAGATTCAAAAGCGTGCCAACAAATACTTTTACAAAGAAGGAAAACTATACAAATTGAGCTTTACTGGAGAAACCATGAGGTGTGTAACCCCGTAGGAAGTTGATGAACTGTTACTATAACACCCTAAATTTTTTTATATTTTTTTTATCCTTGTAATCATAGTGTAAACTCGGAATGACATAGAAATTAGTCAAATTATGTTATTAAGCGAATATAATAATGTGATAATAATATATTTCGTTCAATTTTTTTTTCTAAACAATTACAAGAGCTTGAATAATAAAATCATAATAATTAAATCAATTTAAGAAAACATCAAAATATCATGGTCCTTCAGTGTTCTCATAATATACAGAAATATATCAATAATTAAAAATATTCATAAAAGTTATCAAAATACATTAGGACTATTTATTCAAAATAATATAGGTCCAAATGATCAGTCTGTCCATCACATGACCAAGTGACACTAGTCATCCCTGTGCTAACTCTCTATCATCGCGATGTCTTCCGTATCCAGATCGTTATCCGAGCCAAGGTACAAATCACCCGGATCTGCAGTGACCTGGGTACCTGTGATCCGCTCGAATGTCCATCGCAATGGTCGTGATATGTGACTAGATAAGTCACTGCTACTGGAGTCCTCACAGTACCAGGGAAGATATATATACAAAGAGTATGATGGATTCTATGTACAGGGAAATCAAAAGAAACACTAAAGGCTAGTTTCATTTCCATCATAACCATCTCACTAGGTACCTCACTATCATATACAATAATTCTAAAGAAACTAAGTCTCTAGTACTCATTAAATACATAGTTCAACCTATTTGTTACAAAACTATCTACTAATCTAATGTTCTCTAGTGGTGCTGTCATCTGGATTCCCTGAAAGGTTTACGTAATGATGAGTCTCTATTCATATTACTAAGTATACATTCACAATTTGTGATATAGTAAAACAAAGATCATACAACAATCAATCATGCTACAAAATTATACTCATATACATACAATAATGTCTAAGTGTTTGGCTTATTACTTTTCATCTCTCTCTTAATACTCAGGGTTCTCATTTCACTTTCACTACTCCTGGGATCCCCGAGATCTTCCTTAGCATAGATAGTCGCTAGATAGCTTCAGCTACACGGATACAACGTGTGCTGACCCAGCCCCTTTTAGCGAAAGCATGATCAAGAGTATTAGTCAGAAAATAAGTGTGAGGCCTGTGGTGCTCCAACTCTCATTTGTGTTGCGTAATTCAAGAGGAGCATCCACCACCCTCATTTCCCCAAGACTTCTCAGTTTTCTCCCTCTTCCACACTTCTAGTGCACCTCTGAACTATCTATACTCGTCCTTGTCATATTCCTTTCTCATTTCCCTTTATTTGTATTTTCCCATTTCATCTCTATATTTTCCATTCTCTGTTTACTAATATATTATTCACACTTTTATCTCTCTATTTTAATCTAGTTTCATTATTATATCATACATCATTCAATCATTGCCGAGAGTTAGTCCCCTCAGACTCAGTCCACCACATACATGCATATACACTCAAATCAATGATCATACACTTCATTAAACACTACAAAACATACTTCAAACATTACAAAAACATGTTCTCATCCGAAAGACACTCAAAATCATGCATTTCATCACAACCTTTTCATGAATACAAACATAACACTTTATTGGTAACAAAACAGAGCTCTCCTTACCTTGAAATGGAGGTTTAGTAAAGGGTTTTTGAGGGTTCTTGCTCAAAACATGAGATTCTTCCTAAATATCACAAGAGACCTTATTTAGAGAAGGAGAATCAAGAAAATAATCGAAGGAATAGAGAACTAAGCTTAAAAAACTTACCAAAGAGTAAGAGAAGTGATCTTCGAGACTTTGATAGAAAAAAAGTTGGGGTTTTCCAAGGATTGGCTGAGAAAATGAGGAGAGAAGTCAGAGAGAACGTATGAGAGTCATAACTTAGATTATAATCCAAGTTTCTTAACTTGAAAACCCTTTAATACTCCTCAACTCGCGACATTCTCGCTACAGCGAGAAATTTTTGCTACAGCGAGAAATTCTTGCTACAGCGATATTTTCTCTCGCTATAGCAAAAAAAATCAGACAAAATTGCCCTTTGTTGTCTGTCATTCTAGCTACAGCGAGAGTGCCTCGCTACAGCGAGAGAGCACCATAATGTCTGTTTTTGGATGATGATTTCTAGCTACAGCGAAAAATCCTGCAACTCACACATCTAAAACTCTCCTAATTTCAAGAAACATGCATTAACAACTCACATCAAGTATAAAATTAATAATTAATAAAGTAGGGATGTTACAGTTATAAGAAGTACATAAAGGGGTTTGTGGCAGGCATCAAAGGGGAAAAGGTTTGTAGCTAGAACTACTCAGATTGGGCTACTATTGACCCACGATGAAGGAAGAGGCTAGCGAGTTTGCTCGAAGTGTAAAGCATGCTAAAAGTATGGTAATTTGATACGCGTCCCAATGGCAGAAATGACAAGTCTTACATCGTCTTACCCTTTTCACACATGGGCTTTGGATTTTATAGGGCCAAACAGCCCACCGTCAAAAGGGAAATGATGGATTATGGTAGCGACAGAGCACCAAACTAAATGGGTGAAAGTGGTGGCATTGAAGGAGCCAAAAGGGGAAACGATAGTGGCATTTTAAAAAAAAAAAACATAATTTGTAGATTTGAATTGCCCGGAAGAATTATTTCTGATAATGGTTCTCATTTTATTAACAAAAAGGTGAGTGGTGTACTGGAGGAATACAAAATAAAGCATAGGAAGTTTACGACGTACTACCCCCAATCAAACAGGGAAGCAGAGTTAACCAACAAAATGCTCATTAAGATCGTGGCAAAGATGGTGGAAGATGCCCCTACTGACTAGAGTGAATACCTTCCTCTTGCATTGTGGGCTTAGAAAGTCATGAAGCATGAAAGTGTGAAGGCAATGCCATTCTCACTAGTGTATGGTGCAGAAACGGTCCTCCCCATAGATATGAGTATCCCTTCAGCAAGGATAATGCTAAATGAACAAGAAGAACAAGCTTTGACGATAGAAGGATTGGAAGATAAAAGTGAGGAAGCAAGTCAAGAATTGCTGAAAAATCACAGACGTATAATATTGGCATATGATAAGATGGTCAGACCAAGAATGTTCACTGAAGGAGAATTGGTAATGAAGTCGACATACGCTATTATGAAGAATCAAGCAATCTCAAAGTGGGCAGCAAAGTGGGAAGGGCCTTACGTCGTCCAGGAAACCAACCCAAGTGGTTACTGCACTTTAGAGAACCCTAAGACAGGAAAACGAGTAGGTCCATTGAATTTTAAGTATGTGAAGAAGTTTTACATGTAAGAATGAGAAGTGCTCCCTTATTTTGGTTAGTAGTTGGCATGATGATTATCATAGAAGAAATTTGTTTCTAACATAGATGCATTTTTTTTTTTTATGTAAATACTGGTATATACATATGCATGCCTATGCCTTGATGAATATATATATTAATAACGTGTTTATTTCTCCTATGTGTTGTAATATGCAAATGTATTTTGTTACTAAAATACAGTAATTAAGTGTAAGATAAAAGCATGAACAAGTATATCTAAATTTAAGGCTAGTAATACGTGGAAGCAATGCGTAACACTGATAGATAACTAATACATATGCAGCATAAAACTTTAAATGGTTAGAAACAATTATGATAAAGGATTAATAGAGTGTCTCGGTATTAGAAAGCATGAAGGGGTAGCCTTTTCTAAACACTCCCCTTAACCAACTCTGGCCAAGTTGGAACCAAAAGAGGAGGAGTGAGATTAGTTAAGGAAAAGTAAAGAAGGGGACAAAGCCCTGACCCACTCTATCCCCTCAATGTAAAACCAAGTGCGCATACTAGAAGTGTGAAAATGAAACACACAAATGGAGTGGATGGACGTGTGAAAATAAAATGCACCAAGCGTGACAAGAACAAGATTGCCTCACAATATATATGTATCCAAAGACAGTCATTACAATCATCGAATCCTCTTGAAAATATATATATAAAAAAAGAGAGAAAGAAAAATACCCTAAATAAAGAAAGTGTGTAGCAGAGAATGTGTCACGATTATCTCCCAAGATGCGAGCTTGCTTTATTCACATTAAGCTTTATCCAACTTTGAGCGAGCCACATTCAATTGCGAAATCAAAGTAGAAACCTCAAGAGAAAGGTGTTGCACCTCTTGAGACAGCTCATCATTCAAGGTTGTTAAGCGATAAATCTCTTCTAAAGAAGGAAGAGGGCGAGCAAGTTGCAAATAAATTGAATCTATCCAAGTGCCTTTGAAGCCAAGACCCTTGAACGTGTCTAGATCCCTCAGCTTGAAAAAAGTAATCCAATCAAAGATAGAGCGTGTCGAAAGTGTATGAAGGAAGATAGAAAACTTAACATAGGCCATGCGACGAAGGCGAGAAGGCGAAGATGGTGGAAGAATGAAGTCAGGATGACGGGCTGCAAAGCTCTCTAGTAACTGGATGTCCTCAATAGGAAAACTAAAAAATATAAAATTGCTGCAATTGAGTCATGGACCGACAAAACTTAGGGACAACTGGTGCAGGAATGACATCCAAGCCCCAAGTTTCATGAGCAACTACATCTAGAGCCGCAACACCACCAAGGATGAGGCAGGAACCAGAACAAGGCATACCATCACGAGCACCCCCTGCATCAATTGTTTCACATTCCTTAAAAAAAATAAAAAAAATAAATATATAATAATAAAATATAAAAAGAAGAAGAAGAAGAAGAAGAAAAGAAGAAGAATGATAACAAAAGAAGAAAGGGTGTAGGCAACTTACCAACAACGCTTGAATTAGAAACAACTTAAGGAAGTTGCATCGTGCCTTGGCCAAGAGCAAGAAGCACAATCCTCAACCTGTTGTCTTGCAACATCAAGGGAGTTGCCCTCTTCGGCATCGGGGCTGCTTTCATTGCCCTTGCTACCATTCACACCCAACGCACTTTCAATGTCATCATTATCACTCAAAAGAATGCCATCACCAGGAGTGGGTGCAATCATGTCAACCATGGAATCAGACGAAGAATCACCAGAAACCATAGGCTCAGTAGTTGTCAAATTCACCAAGACAAGAGAGCATGAAGCGGAACGCATACAAGAAGAATGCCCAGAAGAAGAGCGCAACCTAGCACAAGAACAAACAGGAGTAGCTGAAAGCCCTTGGCCAAAAGGAAGGCGACTCACAAAAGATGTGCCAAAACTTGGAAGAGATGCAGCAAGCGGCTTGTGAGCATGAAAAGGGTACTCTACAGCAGAAAAAGCACTTGAAGTACGCTTATTTTGTTTAACTTCGGATGCATCACTTCTAAGTGAGGAATTTAATTGTATTTCAAGAGAACAAGTAGTCTTGTGCTTGTGAATAGTGGGACCACTAACAGCCATTGCGTAAACAGAAGATGAATCATATGAAACGCAGCAACACTTCACAGGAAAAAGAGAGGCTAAAATAAATAAAAAAAAAGGGAGAAGAGAGAAGAATTTACTAGGTTGAATACTTGGAAACAAAGTCATATAGTAGGGGTCATGAAAGACAATGGAATTCGAGGAAAACAAGGGGATGTCCTACTGCTGCTCGAAGATGCGCAGATGTTCTAAGACTGAGTAGTGAAAAGTAGATCAGGTGGACAAAAAATTACCAGTTGATGAAGCGGTTTCTTGTCGTGTTTAAAAGATTTGTCGCAAATCCTCATCAAAATTTAAACAAATTAATGTAGTACTAGGGTTACCCTAGATTGCCTCTCGTGAACATTGGCTATTAATCTTCATTAAACATGTTGAAGGCATTAATTGAACAATCAATTAAAATAGGGGGGAGTTTGTGGTTTCAAATTAATATAAAGAGTAGTAAGCAAACAAGTTTAATTAATTCAAACAATAGAAAGTAGCAATCCTTAGTTCATCCACATAGATTCTATCCTCATTTTACTCAAGATTTAACACTCATCCTTTCTCCCATGAATTAGGTTAATTTAACAAGTGAAAATCAACCTTATGGTCCTAACGAAATTACGCAATTTGTTAGGCTCTAATCCCTCATCCCAAGATTACGCAACCTTAGAATTAAACCTAGGATTAAGCAATCCCTATTTTAGAATCTCCTTAAACGAAATAGGGCTAATTAAGCAATGTCCCCCTCATTCACCATTAATTCAATTCAAGAGACGAGGAAGAACTAATTCATGAAAAGAAAGGAGTTATATTATCATTAAAATCAAGAAACTCAAGAATCCATGTTAACTCACTAAGGATTACACAAAATTTAGCCCTCCATGGAAGGGGGGGTCAAAAACACAGTTTGGAAATGCAGAAAACTCATTGGTATTAATGTAAAAGCAAGAGAAATGAGAAACCAAACCCTAGGTTGGACCCTTAGCTGTCACCCAAGGTTACCCTAAGCTCTGGAAAGTGTCCTAATTTAGTAAAGAAGAGAAAAGGTATGAAACCCTGCTCTAATTTTGTAAATATCTATTTATACTAAGGTTGTCGCCTTCCAAAGTGATTACTTTCATTCTTTCATAGTAGACACGCGCAGCATCAGTTAGTTTTTGCCTTTCTGTAGTGTCCACTATCAACTTTGATAGTAGACACGCGCAACACTAGTACATTTTGGGCACTCTAGAGTGACTACTATGAACATTGATAGTAGCTACGCACAACACCTTCTATTCTGCACACTCTGGAGTGACTACTATGAACTTTCATAGACGCCACGCGCAAGTTTAGTGGATTCTAGGCTATTGTAGTCGTTACTTTTAGCTTTGAAAGTGATCACTTTGGTCCCTTTTCTTAGAGTAGCTTGTTGTAGTGGTCACAATCAATCTTGAAAGTAGTTACTTTCACCTCAAATTCCTCAAAATCCAATAATTCTTCAAAATAAGCTTGGGAGTTCCTGCCACATTATTCAAATGATCAAAATATGTAAAATAAACTATCTAAATCAATATAAATTAACAAAAAATTAAGAAACCTATATTATTTAGCCTAATTGGAATATTCATCTTATTTACACTATGTAAGTCTATTCTTTTCTATAAAAAGTAATAAATGATGTATAAAAATTTAGTAAAATGTGGATTCATCACATGTCCTCAAGCAAATCAAAACTCAAGAAAGTTACTTGTAAAAGGGTTGGATTTATCCAAAAAAATTTCTAAAAATTTTTCATTCCAATATTAGACCCTAATTGACACTTCCAATATTTTCAAAATCATGGAGTCATTCAACAAAGAAAATACACTCATATCAATTAATTTTATGGAAAGTCCCATACAAGTGAAACAAAAATTCAACAAGGTTCATTATACTTCACACAATGCAAAGAAATTATCTAGCTCACAAGGTGGTGTTTCACTCTTCACTTGTTAGTGTTTCCGGCTAGGTATTTTTCCTCAATACATGCAATCTACCCTACCATATGCTTGCCCATATTCTCAATCTCCTTTGCCTTAATACAATGATTTATCTATTAAAAGGACTTAGTTGGTTACAAATAGGGATAGGTAAGGTTCAATTTGATCAAGGAGGGTCAAAAACTCAAGTGGGTTTTCAAGATAAGGGAATCCTTTTGAGTGAGTGAATACAATCAATTAGAATGAAATGCATCAAATGAGGTAGCCTAAGAGGTTCAAGCATTCTTTCACCTTGTTTTTCATCATTTTTCATTATGTGAAGATCTCTTCAATCACTTGGACCTTGCTTCATTTTATTTTCTTTCCTTTTTCATTCTTTCTTTTATGATTTCTTGGACTTTGACAACCACTCTTTTTCTTCAAATTTAAGCAAATTTTTTTTGACATGTATTAGTAACATGTATGATGTCCACCACCCCAAACTTGAGAGGTTGCTTGTCCTCAAGCAACTACAGTAAAGAACAACACCCTAAACTTAGTGTTTGCATTCACTCTTGATGTTACTCAAAAGAAATACGTTCTTGATGGAAGAAAAAAAATGTTTTGGCAGACTAAGTTTGGCAAAAGAAGGGAATGTAATACAATAAGGTGCAAGGGTGGGCAATGGTGAATGTGTGTGTGTAAAGGAGACCTCAATCATTTAGATAAAAATTGCATAATGCATATTCAACTAAGAAGCAGGGCAAGTTCTAGAGGATAGATGCAAAATTACATGGAATATACATACAGAAAGGAAATTAGGGGCTTAATTCTCTACCATGGTAAAAATGGTGATAACTACTTAACATCATGTGAGGATAATTCACCTTGCAAGAAAAGATATTCAACATGGCATGGAGAGAAAATTATTTACAAAAGTAGAGTGTGTTCATGAATTGAATGAAAATTGCAG